TACCGGACTCTAAATATAGCATATTTAATCACCAGTGTTCTGTATAAAATATGCAAATGTACTACTTCACCCATTTTTGTGCATGAAATGAGAAACATGTATTTTAGAAAGAAAAAGGTTATTGATGTTAGATTTAGAAAAGGTGATTGATGTAACTGTGGAATTTTTCTTTTTTGGATTTATGTAGATGCCTCTATTTTTTCTAGACCAAAACAAACAAACAGACACCAACCCCCCTCCCACAAAAACCCCTCCAAAAACAAAAACAAATGCCATCTCCATATAACTATAGAATTTCTGAAAAACTAAGTTACATGGAATGTGTCTCAAGTTCATTTATCAAATTGGAGCCTAGAAGGTACATTAGTATAGAATATTTGATATCAAAAGATGAATATACAAAGTTATGTCTATAATCTGAAATATTAGATAATATCCCTTGATTTCTCAGATATATGCCAAGTCGGACACAACTTGAATATTCAATAAGGATTCAACAATTAGTCCATGCTTTCCCAGAATAGCATTCTCAGACATAGAGGGTTTTACTTAAACTGACAAGTATATATTCTTCATAGCAGAACTATAAGACCATAATAGATTTGCTCTGAAGTTTTTTGCTAATAGGAATTAGCTTGAATGCTGCAGTAGTAAATATCACACTGCAATGAAATTTAGCACGTTTAACACGCTATTTATCAAAACCTAAGTACCATTCTTTTGCATGTTAATATGAAGTTGTCATTTTGTAGGCCGAAAAGTGCTTGGTATTGGCAATATTATATGCTTCAACCCAGTATTATCGTTAGCTGAGAGCGGCACTGGAGTATACTTGTGGAATAATATGCTAATACGGTGTGGCTTTCAAAAAGTTGTTTGTTCCCTTGTTGGATTATCAAAGGCCCCAGAAATATTATCTCATGCATTGAACTCACAGAAATGTTTTTATGACTGTCAGTACCTGCCTTGAGCTCCAAGGCTGTGCTAGTTTCATATGATTACAAGCAAGTGTCTTAACAATGTTTGGTGTTAAAGCTGATGATAGTTCTAGAAGGCTAGATAACACTGAGACATCAACTTTTAATAATTCAAGAATGCACAAATTCATAGTAGAATGCTGTGGACTTTGATTCTAAAGCCATTGTTGTCATGGAAACTAAGATTTTCATAATTATATGAGTAATTACCTTTATCATCTCTATGAGTATAAGCCTCTTAGAGTTCTATTTCTTAAGTATGAGCTTATACTCTTGACTATAAGTATGTATTCAACTTCCTTTCCTTATGCACGTTCTATTATTGACTATAAACTAAAGAGCAAAACTGAGTGAAGACTCAGCCAAGATCTACTACATTTATTGTAGATTTTAAGTTTGGAAGCCTTTCCTTAATCCTTCTGATAATAATAATACATTAGGATTAAATGCATAGGACCCAACATTTACTCACCCTAACCTAAGTAATTCACCTTAATCAGTTGTCAACATGACTTGATTTTCCACAAAAGTTGCCTTTAATGGAAAAGTGAATTTTTATTATTGATGAAGTGATTGTTCAGTCACATAATATGGCATATACAGAAACGGTGCTCATGAAGGTATTTGTTGAATGATCTGATGGCCTGAATTGATATCGAAGTTGCAGAGACTCTTAGATCTATGACAGTGCACTTGCGAAGGGCATTCAATTTCCTGTGGATGTTGACCAAGAGAACTTGTACAAAGATATAAAATAAATTTACAAGAATAATCCAGAAAGAGGACCTTATGGTAGATTCATTCTCATAGTGATTTCACATATTCTCAGTCCCATCTCAGGCTTCTGTTGCAATAATCACAGCTCTGTGATAACTATTTACAGCCCACACATTGCCAGACATACTGTTTATAAGTCTACATTTGCTTATTTTGCATTTAAATAATTTGTGGACCTTATCCAAGTGTCTGCGTAATGTTGCACCTCATCACGGGCAAGCAAAAGAACAGGCTAAAAAGGGATGGTACTGATCATGAAAGCTATAGTAAGTCAAAAGTTGGAGGAATTAGCTTGTTTCCAGTCAATAAAATAATTTTGCTTAATGGGGTAGAGTCTAAAGATATGCCTTATCTTTTCTTATCTGTATCACCCATGTTGTTACCTCTCTTGCTTCCCTGTGCCTGACACCTGAAGCAATTGTTCATCTTTTTTAATAAATGAATGTGTTGAAGAAATGCCTGTAAAATATAAAAACATACTTTGGATGCAATGAAAATCTGTCTAAATCCTACCTCCTCTTCTTTGATTTTTCCTGGAAGCATTAGTTTCTCCTTTGAGTTACAAGGCTAGAGATCACGAGCCTGTAAATGTGTGTGTTCCTATCTTAAGATATTTTCAAAGACATTTTTAAATTGTTAGGTTTTATTTATCTGTTCTTTTTAACTTTTGCGCTCATAATTATTTAACTAAGTACCATTTTCTTGCCAGTGGTCAATACATTTAATGATAAAACACTGAAGTCACTGAGGATTTTATGTGACAAAAAAAGCCCCAATCTGTTCTCATTTTTATTTAACATTGCTTTCAAAATACTGGGCAATGTAAAAGAGATGAAAAGTAATAAAACAAAGCTATCAAAAGATGCGGAGATAAAATGTCATTATTTGTAAACTATAAGTTTGCTTACTCTCGTTTTTCAAGTAGAAAACAAAATCAACAAAACAACAAATAATAATAAGAGCAGAGATTTTAAATAGTCTAGGGCAGTGCTTCTCAAGATGTGGTCCCAAGACCATCTCAGAGATTTGATGAGGTCAAAGCTATTTTTTTAGTAATGCTAAGATATTTTTTGCCTTTCCAGTCTTATTGTCTCATGTGTGTACAGTGGAGCTTTCCACGGCTGTGTGTGGTTCACTCCCAACATGTTGAAAGCAGAAGCATATATTAGAACCTGTTTTCTGTTATAAAAGTATAGAACAGCACCCCCTTCTCACTAAATATTTGTTCATTTCGGAAAACAGAATTATTTTTCGTAAAAGTAGCTTACTTATGCTAACATATAATGGGATTATTGTTATCTTCCATGAATTGATCAAAACATTTTGAAAATTAGGAATTCAAACAAATTTAGTAAATATCAAGTTATAACTCACATGTACAAAAGCCCATTGATGTCCTCAATAGTTTTTTGAGACTGTAGTGGTTTTGAGATTTAAAAAATTGAGAATTGCAGGTGCAGAGAATGGCAATATACAGCAATAACCAGTTATAATTTTAAAATGGAAGAAAAAATAAAAGACCTAAGAATAACCTTACAGACCTATGTGAAATATGTAAAAAGACTCTATTTCAAGATATTAAAGGGGACTCAATAAATGGAGATTCATACCATGTTCATTGAGGGGAAGTGTCAGTATTACACTAGTGTTCAATCTCCTTAATTATTTTATAGATTTCACATATATCCAAGCAACAGGTATGTTAAACCTGTGGAAATGAAAATTTCTATAAAATTTAACTAAAGGATTCTAAAGTTTGTATAAGAATAATAGATAGTAACGGCAAAAACATTTAAAAATAATAGACTTGCCTGATTTGATGTTAAAGTTGCAGTAGAGAGTCAGATAACATTATGTGTACATATTGGGCAATGATTCAACAAATATGGTAACAACAAGGGAAAACTGAGTATAGAATAATAATTAAAATAGAAAATACATTTCATATATTTCATAAATCCAACTTTGTAAAAAAGGTAGCAAAGTACCAGGAGTAGATACCTTAATACATGAATGGTGGTTATCTCTGGATTCCGGAATTATGAAGTTTTTTATTATCCTCTTTATGCCTTTCCGTACTTTTCTAACTTTTTGCAATGAACATATGCCACTGTTCAAGTAAATAACTACAGTTCAATTAACTTTACACACAGCTGTTGAAGTTTTAATTTATAGTTTAAAATAAATGAAACCAATGAGATTTCTACTGCATTCCAGCTCTGGATTACCTGACAGTAACCCCTTAGGTCATGCCTCCTGTATTAACACAGTGTAGCATTTGTCCATTCGCCAGTACACTGTATAGCCTTAAACAAGCTCCTTTGGTCTTTAGTTTCTTTGCCTATGATGACGTTTCCTCTCATTTTAAAATCTGTAAGTTAAGCGATGAAGATTTCTAAAACTCTATTTCCAACAGACCTGTCTTGTCTGAACAATCTCTATGTCTCTCTTTCACTACACATTTCCTCCTAACATATTCCCTTCTATGTTTAGTGCTTGTGGAGCTCTTCCTTTCCTCCCCAACATCTGATGATTGAAGAAGGGATTAAAATGTCACCGTCTGTCTGTCTGTCAGTGCTGTTCAAGGCAGCATCCAGATCCTAGTGCCCCTATGTGCATATTGTTGACTAATTGTCATCTACGGGTCTTTGGTGATATTGTCATAGAATGTATAGAAACCGGGAGAGATTCTGAGATTCTAGATATAGATGGACTTCATTAAGTTACATAGGGAATTGCTGTGTCTTTTCCATCTCATCTGAGCCTGTTTTGTTGGACCTCATTGATATATACCCTCTACAGTTAACACACATCCCAGGTTTGGCTACTTGTGTTTAACATTCAAAATGATTAGGAGTTTGGAAATAGTTGTAGTTTTGATGAAGCTATATTTATTTAAATTGTAGCTTTCCATCTGATATTTTAATTATGTGATGTTTACTAAAAATGCATTGCTACATTTAGTTGTTATCATAAATAAGTCACTATATATGTTAATGGATGATATGAATGCATATTGGTACAATATGATAAGCTTCATGCATATCCATTCACTTGATAGCAAATATAATTGAACTTACTAAATTCTTTAGTATAAAAGTGTAATCTATATTGTATACTGTAAATAGAAAAGCAAACCTTAGAATTGAGTCTCTTTGTGTAAGTAGTCATCTGGGGTGGGATGTATGCTGTTTGATGCCTCCATGTGATTCATGTGTACTGATGAATTTCTTTTTAAACTTGCAGCAAATAGTGGCAGCAATAAATGCAGGGATTATACCGTTAGGAAACACCTCCAATCAAATCAGTCACTGGGACTTGGGAAGTTCCTTCTTCTTTGCTGGCACTGTTATTACCACCATAGGTAGGAGACAACTTATTTTGTTTTTTAATTTTGGTACAGCTTGTGAGCTAAACTTCATTTGTTTGAATTATTTTTTTACAGTTGGTCAAAATGGTCTTCGTAAGGTAGAAAATTAGATTTTAGTGAATTAATTTTGGAAAAAGGGTTTAAAGGTTTGAACAAGGGGATAATGGAAATGAATTAGTTATCGTTTCAGAATACTGAGTTGTTTAAAAAATACACATGAAATTCAAGAGCAGCGCAGTTGTCGTTTGACTAATGGACAGGAACTTCGTGAAATGGCTTGAAATTATGATTTGTGTGTGTGTGGAGAGGGTGGGGCAAGTAGTTTTAAATTTTCCTGCACCTTTGATTCTTTGATTGTAGAAAGAAAGGATTGGAGTACAATTTTGACTTTTTTTCATGATCTGATATCAACTTTTTCAATTTATAAATTTTAACTATATTTCAACAGGTTATTCCTGTCCTTATATAATTCCTGTCTATTATAATTACTTCAGGACTTTATTTTTATACATTATGTGTTTCCAATAGCACATATATAAAAAATTAACACTGATTTATGAGGATTACAAAAAAGAATTAAAGTTGAAATCCTTGCTGTTTTACCTTTTAATCATGTTGTTTGTTATAATGTTAGAAGGGTCACGTAGTGGAACGTGATCTCTTTCAGGCTTGAGTGTGCACACACTCAGCACCTTCTGGCAGCAGAATGGGTACATGTAGATGATTTCCCTACTGTTAGTCATTCAGTACCCAAGAAATATCCAGACCCCACAGTGAAGGCCACGCTTGCCATGCTTGGGGACCAGGAGGAATTATAGCTGTCTGGTTTAATGGCAAGAGGTCAGTTTAAAGCCTAAGATTTAAGATAGGGAAGGAAACTGACTCATTACAGTTATGCAGGGGTTTTAAGTGGAAGAAAATACATGTGCACAACTGAGTTCTGCCCCTCCACATATGCTTGTGATGAGAATGCCACTCCTGGACCTGATCTCTGATTTTGGGGTGTGAATTAAGATTCTAAAAATTTTCATTTTATTCCTTGATGCCATTGACAAAAGCCAAATGAAGTGTATAAGGTTTTCAAATCAGTACTTTATATCAAAGTCCTAATGAAGAAAGCATGGGCAATTTATGGATGAACTCTCGCTTAACATTTCCCTTTGAGAGGAATTTGTAGTGACCTGTCATTATGTGAATTCACTGCAGTGCCTCTTGGTGCTGGGTCACTTGCCAGTGAAATAAATACCTTAGCATGTTGATTTTTGCCTTTGTTCAGAGGTCAGGGAACTATGTTTACTCTTCCATTTCCATTAGCTAGGTCAAGAAGTTGTGTGGCTGTGAAAATCTGGAAGAATGGCAACCTTGATTTCTAACCATAATAGCAGGTTAACTTTGCAGCTTAGACATCTTGGTCATTTCGATTATGGAAATGACTGTTTATTGTGTAAACTGCTTAGAGTCTGGAAGGGAAAAAAGCTCACAGACTGAGCGAGAATGGTTTGTTTCTGCCCAATGAAAGCTCAGAAGTCCAAGGTATAACTCATCATGACCACCGCGAAATTATTCCACAGGAGACTTACTCATTATACAGACTTGCTGCTGCATCATATGTTTATAAACAGTCTCATTTTTCAAATCCCAGATTCAGTAAGTTTTGCAGACATATCCTTCAACACATGAAAAAATAAACCATTATTACCAGCCTCACCCCAAATTATAGCCATTAAGCACAGTAACTGATTATTTAGGTTGTTTAGGTAGCTGCCTGACAGCCCAGATCTCCTACTGTTCTATCTCAGGCTGTAGCAGTAGGTGAATTAAGTCATTCTAGGTCATCCAAATGTATTTCATGGTCTTTTACTCCTAGGTCAAGGCCACCTCCTTGGCTACATTATGATTTAAGGCTGGGTGAACATTCTGGCCTCTTTCATAGGTGTGCATTTGAAAATTTAAAGTATAATTGCTAATACTGCTAATGATCATAATTGTGTGAGCCTTGAAGTGGCTTTTAGCAATCCTGGAAATTGTAACATCCCGCACTATTTTGAATCAGTCATTTCAAAATAGGACTTGAGACAGTTTTGGAGAAGAAATTACAGTAGGTTTTATAAGGTGCTTGGTACAAGCAGTGCTTCAGGGAGCGGCACTGGCTGTAGTTGCCCAAGATTTTTCTATTCCGTGTTATCAATTTGCCTTGGAGGCCAATGTGACCTTTACTATTCATTGGAAATATGCCCAAGGGGAGTTCAATTACACAAAATGGAATGTTAAAATTTAAGGAATAATTTTAGAGAATCTCTTTATATGTCTATATACTCTTTCCAAAATCCTTCCAAACCCTTAACAAATTCCATTCCACAGTAGTATAGACTAACACCCATTATTGACTCCTCTCTCTCACACCTTACTTTCAGTCCATCAGCCGATTCTGTTGGCTTGGCCTTTAAAGGGGATCCGTAATCTAACTATTGCTCACCATTCAAACTGCCAGCATCTTGGTCCCAGCCAGCATCATCTCAGTGTTAGCATCCTTACAGAAAGGAACCTTCTGCTCAGAACCTTCTGTGGTTTCTAACTCCATCAGAACAAAAACCATACTTCATTGCCTTTCTCACCATAGATACAAGTTCTGTGAAGTTTAGGGATTTTTATGTGTTTGAGTCTTTTCTCCATTCCCAATGCCTGACACATAGTGGGTGCTTAATGATTATTTTTGGAATAGAAAACAAATAGGCATTCTAAATGGTATGGACTGTGGCTTACTAGACGTGACATAATGCTAAGTTGATACCTATTATACTAAATTCTTAGCTCTTTCAATAGATTTCATTACTAATTTTTTATTTGTTCAGTTGTTGATTCAACAAATAATAAAACAGTATCACTCTGCTACTGTAATAATAAAAGATAAAGTATTTGAGCTTAAGTTGCACACAGACCAGTTGAGAAGCCAATGGGCCAATAGTCATTTACCATATAGTGGCAGGTACATTTAAGAGCATTTAATGGAAATAGAATGGAGTAACACTTCACATAAATATTGGGGCAGGTGGGTGCGTAAGGAAAAGGGCAAGGAATATTTCCTTAGTAAGTGTCCTAGTTGAGACTGGAAAGAGAGTTAGGAATTTTCCAGGTGAATAAAGGTGGAAAGGAAACATTTGAGGCATTGGGAGTTCATGTGGTAAGACCAAGGGTCAGAGACAGAATGTTCTGTTTGGGAATTGCAAGTTATCTAGAATTGTTGCTTGTCATTGAAGGGACTCATGCTCAGGACCATGCAAATTAGTAAGTCAGTGTGAGTGGCTCCTGTTGGATCAGTGCTACTTCTGCCACTGCCAGGGGTGTAAAGGGCATGGTCCAATTTGCAAGATAAAATTTACACATATGATATAATCGAAGAATGAGAGAAACGAGTATAAACACATGGTACGTGGAACCATGGTTTAAGTGCTATAAAAATGGAGAAAAAGGAAAGGTCATGTGGGCTGGAACTGGGAGGAAAGACTTAACTTAGATAGGTTGAATTTGAATGATGCTTTGAAGAAAAAAGTTTTGGTTTTGATTGATGAAGGGGAAAAAGCCTCCCAGTCTGTGACATAGTTAAGCAAAAATAACAAGGAGTGGGGTGAACTTGATTCATTTTGAGGACAGAAAAGCCAGTATTTGAGTAGATCAGAGGAATTGTTTAAAGGAATAGTGGGAGATATTGTTGACTGATTCAGATGGGAAAAATACAGTTGAATATAATTTGATTTTTGTGAATTTTGTACCTACTATAAGACAGAACGTGGATTTTTTTTTCTTTTTTGGCAAATGAAAGGACAGGTTAAAAGTGACATTAGAAGATGCATCTGTGAGGAAGAGGACCCCCGGAGACCGACAGCTGAGAGGGCAGTTAGGAGGTCATGTCAGTGACCCACGGAAAGAGCATGAGAGTATTGACTGGATGCTTGGAGTGGCTTTGGAAAGATGAGAGTAAGAGAAAAATGTTAAAATAATTAGATGCAAGAATCAAGAGGTCTTGGCAACTAATACAATGAAGAGAGAAGGGGTCAAGATGTTGAATAACGAAGTGTATATTTAGGCAGCAAACCTGCAATTCATGGAGAGCGCTAGTGGATCCTGTAAAAAGAAAGGAGGGGGGAAAACTATCAAGATTTTACATGTCATGTTATATCCGGAAGCTTCCTTTTAGTAGTCCCCCCCCTTCATTTTTATTTGTGTCTTATTTAATTCAGACAGACTAGGAATACAGGTGGTCAGGCTCCCTCCTGGAGCCCACGTTGGGGTTGAAGGGACCAACAGTCAATTATCAGCACCTTAGAAAACAAGACCGTTGTCCATGGTCCTAAGCAGCCAGTAGGTAGCAAGTGGGAGGGGTTCTAGGGGCCACTGTGGAAGACCTCCAAGCAGGGGACATTTAGGCTGACACCTGGAGGATGGGAAGAAAGCGGCTAGGGAAAGGGGAGCACAAAGACTAGTTCAGGCAGAGGGCGAAGCGCGGAGGCCAGAGAGAAGGCTGGTGCATTCACCTGTAGGCGAGAAGATGCTGAATTGAACTAAGGCGGGCCCAAAGTGGACAGATACACGATTAAAAAAAAAGAAAGCGTACTGATGGAGATATGCTTTATCTCTGAGAATACTGTCATAGGGGTATTCGTGTTTTAAACTGTGTTATTTGAAAGCCAATAGGAAATCACTTACACTATAGGAGAGACTATTGACAACTTGATGTAATGGACAACTGCATTCTATTTTGAGGTCCATTTAAAGATAGGAATAAAATTGTAAGATGGTTTTATTACCTGAAGGCATTCAATATAATAGCATTTTCCCCAGTGGAAAGTAAACTGGAATGCTGGTTGCTGAGATCTGCCCAAGCTGATCACTCAGTCATCATGATCTGCGAGTGTGAGAATGCGCAAGGCTACCACCATGGTCTGCAGCAGCTTTAAGATCCCAAAGCATGACCTTAAGTCTTAGGGGAAGCTTTC